ACTGGACACCATATACAGTTGGGGGATCTTTGAGGTCTCCTGATGAAATACAGACCTTTTCTCTGCTTCCTCATGATCCGTAATTTAGCCATCAGAATTGCTAAAATCCTGAGGAGGATGTCTGCTCTTTAAAGAATTTATACTTAGCTGAAACCTTATATTAATTCCAAATTCTTAATATGTGGCCCCCTTCCTAATTCCCCATGTATTAGTGCCTCCTTTCTTATTATGGTGAAGAATAAATTATTCATCAAGGTGGATAAATGGCTTATAGAGATAAATAACATGACATGAATGTAGTAAAATGTTTCCCTCTTGTAAAATAAGTCGTATTTTTGAAGTTTACTTATTAATTTTGAGAGAGGGTGTGTGTGAGTGGAGGAGGGACTGAGAGAGAGGGAGAGAGAGAATCTGAAGCAGTCTCCACATTGTCAGTACAGAGCCCAACACAGGGCTCCACAGGGCTTGACGTGGGGCTCAATGTGGGGCTAGACATGGGACTTGATCCCAGTACCCTGGGATCATGACCTGAGCCAAAATCAAGAGTAAGGCACTTAACCAACTAAGCCACCTAGGTACCCCTAAATAAGTAGCATTTTTAACCCAACCCTTTAAGACTGTACATCTTTCTGGAGAGAAATAGTCAACTGCACAGCACCCCCCCCACCGAAAAAAACAACAACAACAACAACAAAAAAAAACCCAGAGCTTTAAACAGGCCCTAAATAAAGAAGTTCAAAACCTCAGTGATGCCTGGAGGTTGACTGTGCCTATTCAGTCTCTGCTCCCTCATGCTGAATATCTAAGGCTGCCATGAAATGGAAGGAGGAGGATGTGTGGGTAAAGAGTGGGCAGAGAAGACTCCCAAGAATTGGAAACTATGCAAAGAGTAGCAGCCAGCAGCTAATTAGTTTCAGCTCTGAAATGACCCCTTTGTGTGGCTTGTCCCTCCTGAGGGAAAGGTTAAAATGCTGTCATGTCTGCTTTTAGCAGTGTGGTAATTAAAACAATTAATCCCAGGTTCTAAATAAGGTGGCTTCACTTATTTGGCTGAAGGGAGAATGGTCTTCCTTCATTTTTTCCCCTCTCCTACTCACTAAACATCACATCCAAGAAATGAGCAAATACCTACATTATACTTCTACACATAGGGCCTATTTAGTGGAAGGGATGATCATTAAGGAAGAGTCTAGATCTGAAGTTATCAATTTCCCTAAAACTGAGAAGCAAACTTATTTTGAGATGTTACTATCACAGCTCTTTACTAAGCTCTGCTGGGATACAAAGTCAGTTGATAAAGATAGCTAATAATTATCATGCATTTACCATGTGCTGAGCTACAACGTAGAGATTTTACATGGTTTATCCTATTTAATCTTCCCTAAAATCTGTGAGTTGGATGGTATTATCCTTATTGTGATCACGTCCAGATTGTCAGATGAGGAAGCTGGGACCAAGAAAAGTGAAGAGATGAGACCATGATGAGTTGGAGTAGAGGAAGGATTTGAACACAGGCAGGCAGTCTGGCCCAGAGCCCATTGCTCAACCACTATGCTGTCTGTATTTCAGATTCCATCTTACCTACAGTCTAGTGTGTATCATAAGACAATGAAGAGAAGATGAATCCATGCCAAATGAGTGGATGAGCTTCATCAGGGAAGATTTCACAGAACAAGGTAGATTTAAGCAAGGCTGAAGGGTGGACTGAGTTTGATTTGGTGAAGAGGGGTATGAAGGGCCTTCTAAATAAGGGGAGCCACATGACAACTTCAAATACTGGGACAATAAACTGATCACTTTGGCTATGGCAGAGAGCTTCTGCAGTCATCTGCAGGAGACCTTTATCTCCTTGGCCTCACACTTATATAAAAGAGAGGTAACTTCCACTCTGGTCCCTAACAGGGGTATACTAGAGTGAATGTGAGCTCTGAGAGACTAATGTCTATTAAGTTCACACTGAGTGTAGTACAGGCTCACTTCAATGACAAGGCAATAGGGTCTGCCGTGTCCTTCCCACTTCCCTTGGGCAATAAACATTGCCTTGGGTTCCAGTCTCCATGGGGGTATCAGAAAAGGCTGAGCCTGCCTCTGGCTGGTCCATCCTAGTTTCTGCTCTCTGTTTCAGCTTCATTTCCTGGAACTAGCTGGTTGAAATTAATTCAGGATGTGGCAGTAAGAAGCTCTAACACACTCTCCAATTTGGTTTCATCACCAATAAAGCTATCTGGATTTCCATCTGACTTCTTGTGTCTGTTCTAAGTGACCAGGACTTGGATGAAAGATGAACAGCTGATATTCCCAAAACTTTCAACCACAGGGATGTGGTAGAAAATTCCATCTAAAAGATAGATTAGACATGGTAGACCAAGAAGAGTCATGAAGGTTGGTATAAGGAATTTATGTTTTTAAGTTTATTTATTTATTTTGAGAGAGAGAGAGAGAGATCACAAGTGGGAAAGGGGCAGAGAGAAGGTGAGACAGAATCCCAAGTAGGCTTCACATCATCAGCACAGAGCCTGATGCGGGGCTCAAACTCACAAAACTGTGAGATCATCACATGACCGAGGTCTAGAGTCAGACACTTAACTGACTGAGCCACCCAGGTGCCCCTGGTATAAGAAATTTAGTCATAGCCTATGGGAATTATTTATTATAACTCTCTGTGCAAGCACACACACGCATGCGCACACAAAACACACATACACAGTGGTTAGCCATAAAGGAAATACTGTGGGACCTGATTCCAAATTAATCTCTAGAGCTTTAATGTCACCAACTCCTCACTTCCCCACAAATTTGCCAAGAACCTTAAGTCATTTTTAAAAGGCAAACTAATATGTTGTCCATATGTCTTTAAATAATTTCTTGTCTGCCCCGCAAGTTTTTCAAGAATTATGTGATGACCAAAGAACATTTCAGCCTATTTGGGAGACTTTAACAAAGCTTTCTCGTACAGCCCCATTCTCGACATTAAAAGACACTAATAAATAATGACAAATATAATGTCATTATTTGGAAATAAATGCTTGCATCTTTCTTCCCAAATAATCTACCTTATAGTCTTTCAATTGATCTCACAATATTAGGTGATTTTTTTCTCATTTCTTAAAAATTTTTTTAAATGTTTGTTTATTTATTTTGAGAGAAAGAGTAGAAGCAGGAAAGGGGCAGAGAGAGAGAAAGAGAATCCCAAGCAGGGTCCACACTGTCAGCACAGAGCCTAATGTGGGGATCGAACTCACAAACCATGAGATCGTGACCTGAACTGAAATCGGTTGAGTCACTCAACCAACTGAGACACCCAGGTGCCCCCCCACTTTTTTTTCCATTCTGATTTATGTGTTTATATTTGAGTGCTAATTTGAAAATAATTTTGATTGAAAGTATATATTTTAAGTACAGAGATCTGGGTTTTAATCCAAATCTGAAAACTGTTAACTACGTCCTTCTATCTCTTATTAGTGACTACCAGCAAATGGGCAGAATTCCTTTCTCCAAGAATAACTTTTCCAGTACATTCCTTTTTATTATCAAAAGACTTTGCATGAAAACAGGAAGATACAGTTTTCTCCTTAACTGAGCAAAACACTTGTCCCAATCTCTGTGAAATATTCTTCCTATGCTTCTGACCCTCGTAGGATAAAAGCAATGACAGTATGCCTTTGGTCTTCCTGCTCCAGGAAGGGAAGTTGCTGGAGGAAGAGAACTGATTTTTTCCACTTTTATGGCTCAAGAACAAGTTATAACTCCAGTTTTGCAAAGCGCAGGGAAAATAATACACAATTATTAGGTTGTTATCTGTGGGACTATGGATGTAGTAGAAAGGAGCTCACCAGAAAAATCCAACATATTTTTAAAAGAATGCTACATTTTACTGCTTCTCCTTCCTTTGGCTTCTGGAATTTACCCTCCATCTGACCCACCTCCATTCTAATCACTTTGGCTCTATTACCACTTCCTTAAAGTTATCTTCTTTTTTCTGTTACAGGAACTGCACAGCCATGCTTTTCATCAGCATTTTAATAGTTTATCTACTTATTCACAACCTTGTTCTAGAAATGGCTTAAGGTGGCTTAAAATAATCCATAAAATACACCAAGAAATTAGTAACAGAAGAATCAGAAATGAAACTTGTGTAAAAATGCTTATATGATCATCCTCATTGACACTGCCTGGACCCCAGATTTGGCTCTAAGCTTTCTCACAGGCAGTCAGGAAAGGAAACTTAATTAGTTACATCATTTGCAGTGACCATAAAGCAAAAGCAAATCAATTACCCATCGCAATACTAAGATCAGAGAGAAATTTCTCTTGAGAGGTTTCAAAAAGAGGTCAGTGTATGATGTCATCACCACTGTTCTCAGTAGCAACCTAACTGGAGACATAAAGATGAATTTCACAGGGTTTTCTTAATATGCTGGGTAGTATAACAGATGGCATCAGGGCAACTTGAAAACCAGGAAAAGCCATTTTATCCTGAGTTTGAGGGTCCAGGGTGGGCACAATATGCCATGGTCAAGGTACTCAGCTCTCCCCTTTGCTAGGCAAAACCAAAGGTAAATCTGAGAACAACAGAATCTAATCAAGTGCCAACAATGGCTTCTGGGAATTTTAAAACCTCTAAATTTGTATGCATTTTATGAATGGGTAAGTTCATTTTTCTTGACAGAGAAAACATAGTGTATCCAATCCTCAATGTACATGGGCAATTCACAAAAGCTAGGAACAATTTCTAGAAAATCTAGAGGATTAAACACCCTACAAATCCCTTCTATTCTCCATTTTTTCCCACAGCCTAGCTTTCCTTCCCACCCCCTCCACATAAAGAACTTGCATAAAGAACCTTTTTTGTTTCCATTTGATATCACAGCTTAGGCGAGGGTTTCAGCATGGTTAAAAAGTTGCGTCCTGGCTGAAGAAAGAAGCTTGAGCACACATCTTGGCACTGGGGAAACGCAGACGGGTTCCTTGAAGGCTGCTGGGCACTGCATGGGCGGCTCCTAGTCGTGCTTTAGGGTGAGCTTTCTGAAGAGATACTCACCCAACCCGGCCTGGGGGGCGGCCAGCCTGCGGAGGTTGGTGAGGTGGTCGCCCATCTCCTTGATGACTTTCATCTCTGCCTCTAGGAAGTGGCTCTTGAGGAGGTTACAGAGACCTGGATCTCTGTTGTTGGAACTCAGGGCATGCAGATCCAGAAGGGCCTGGTTCAGATTCTTTTCCAAGGCCGTGGCGTCTTCCATGGCATCCACGCTGCCACGCCACTCATCTTCGGACAGCTTTTGCCAATCATGAAGGAAGGGGCCGACGCTCCACTGGTTTTGCAACTTCAAGAGACGGAGGGCGCCCTCACGCTTCTCCTCAGCCAACTCTTGAAAGAAGCGGCCCATGCCCTTCAGAGCTACATTGCTGCCTCCTTCAAAGAAGCGAAGAGAGAGGTAGGTGTGGGAGGCCTGCAGGTGGAGGTTCACCAGGCGCTGGAGGGCAGCCTCCATCTGGGCGGAATAATTCGGCTGCATCTGGGCGCTCATGGTTGAGGAGCCGTGAGGAGCCGAGCGGAAAATATGGCGCTTGAGGGTCTGGGAAGCGCGGGAGCGTGAAGACGACGATTCCACCGGAAGTTGTAACTGAAGGGGCAGGCTAGAGGTGAGAGGTTGGCAGGGATACGAGGAGGCGGAGGAAGGGGTGGGACTCCCTAGGCTGTAATCCAATAGATAGTTATAGAGGGCTGCAGGGTGAACTCTAAAGTCTAGTTTTTGGTAAGAGTTTAATTCTTTCTTTCCTACTTATTAGAAAGGAGTTTTTATCTCTCATTTTGCCCCATTCCTTACCATAATTACAAGATGAGGTAAGAACGTCTAAGGTAAGAACATAAGTATAGTGAGTTACCTCCCGTCTTCATTTGTGACTTAAAACTCCCTTGTTTCTTATTTCAGAATCTATAGGAATTGATTGTCTCCCACTCCTAAAGCCTCATTTACAGGGTGACTATTAGTTCCAGTTTGCCCAGAGCAGTCTTGTCCTGGTGCAATTATTAATAGTGCCTCCTAATAAAGAAATAAAATAGTGTGTCCCCTTTTACACTCGAAAGGGTCCTTGTTTGGAAATATACACTACATGGTCACCTTACTTATTAAGAAGGTCAAAATCCATACCATAGAATGAGAAATGCATAGAGTTTCTAAGACATTGAATTTGGACATAATTCATTTTCACTTTATTAATTAATCATACCAGTAAGAATCCTGTCATAACTTTCCTACTCTTCAGCCTTCATTTTTTCAGGTGTTGATGCATTTATTCCTTCTAATAGAAGACCAACTGGATACTGTTTATGTGCCAGGTGTTTTGTTAGGTACTGGTGGCTTCTTGTGATTACCCAGATATTCTACCATTAACTGAAACATGTCATCTGAAAGGACACTAAAGGTCAAAGTGTAGACTTATAAATCCTACCACAATAGAAAATAACCTATACAGGATGAGTTAGCTATTCTCAGTTAGAAGATAAGGGTAGAACTAGATGATCTCATAGGGTGTCTTCCAGGTTTGTGATTTCATGTTTAGCCTTTTATTTCCCTAAATACCACTTGCCTGGGTCTGCTTCACAATTAGAACACTTCAATGTGTTTTCTGTCAAACTGGAAGGCATATTCTATTCAGGATAAACAATATCTGAACCCAGAGAGGAAAGTTTTGCTCCCAACCTTGGACCTACTTCTAAATGAAAACAAAAAGTAATTATTTTACAGCTAGTTTAGTTCTTTTAATATGTTTTAATGTTTATTTATTTTTGAGAGAGAGAGAGGCAGAGAGAAAGGGAGACACAGAATCCAAAGCAGGTTCCAGGCTCTGAGTTGTCAGCACAGAGCCCGATGCGGGGCTTGAACTCACAAATGGTGAGCTGAAGTCAGACGCCCGACCCAGTGACCCACCCAGTCTTTTGCGGCTACTTTCAAATTTTATTTCCTATGTTGCTGGAAAGTGATATCTTAAAATTTCAAGAAGAGATCTGCAGTCTCCGTTCACTGCTTAAGCTGAAATATGGGCATATATCCTGTAAATTGTAAATTTTTTTCATGGACAGTTGTTGCCCAAAAGTGTTCTCATACTGCATTTGAAGTTTGCAAAAACATTTAGAATTTAGGAATAGCACATTCTTCAATCCTGAAGGGAAGTGGGTAAAACCGGAATAGTTCTGCAGACTTTCTACCCTTGGCTCTAGGGCAAAAAGGGAGGCTGGGGATTAAGAGAGAGGGGTAAAACAAAAATTCAAACCCAAGAACAATCCTTGCATATACTCAAATAGTAAAGAAAGTATACAAGATGGAATGCCCTCTAAATGATTGCAAAGAAAATGTTCATTTTCTATCCTGTGCATAAACCATTAATCATCATATTGACCTTGTAATAAAAAATGCTAAGCTTAGAGAAAACTTCACCATGTAACATATTATCTGTATTATAACATGTCAGGCTCATTTAATATATTTCCATTTCCTATACATTTATGTATTCTTCTTGGAAAAGAAAAGTGTCTATATAAACCTTCTCAGATGAGATAGTTTTCTGCCTCGTGCAAAATTTGACACGTCTTCCCCTCATCATTTTAGAGAAGAGAGTCCGTGTTGGAATTGTACTGTGATAGGCGGTTAAGCACATAATTGTCAGAACCAGGCCAATGTGTGCTCAAATCCCAGCTTTTCCACTTCCTAGGAGTGTGACCTTAGGCAGGTAGCATAAGCTCTTTGAACCTTAGCTTGCTTTCTTGCCTGTAAAATAGGACTGTTAATATCTCACAAGTATACTACAAGGATTAAATGATATGATGCATGAGAAAATATTGCCGAACAAGTAGAAAGCACTTAAAATAGTGCTGTATCATCAGTGAATTCTGCAGTAAAGTTTTAAGGATCTTCTCAAACCCTAGTATATCCCAGGTTCATATCCCAATAGGTTCTTGATCCAAGTTTCCTCACTACAAACCTGTTTGGCTGAATCACTCTTCTCAGTGGCAATACCCTTTTAAGTAAAAGCACAGAGGCATAGCCTTGGGTGCCAAAGATCTAATTCATTTAAAATATGAACAAAACCAGCTTCTCTTACTTCCCTCGCCTAAGTGAGATTCAACAACACCTCTTGAGGTCCTTTGTGGCTTTCTTGGCTGTGGAGGGAAGGGGAGCGATGCCTAGGTGGCAGAAGCCTATCTGTTTTCTCATTTCTCCAGTCCAAGATTATCATCCACTATAGCAAGAAACATCTAATGAACACCTACTTTATAGGAGAGGTAAGACTATGGGACATCCCAGGTGAATAATAAATTCATCTCCTCTCTCATTCAAATGTAGACTTTGTGGAATGCTTATGTTTGGGTCAGATTCCTCAGAAACAGACCTTGCACTGAGGATTTCTGTGCAAGTGATTTATTGGGAAAGGGCTCCCAGGGGAGACCAAAAGAGAGTGCAGAAAGCAGCAGAGGGAAGGAAAGGAGGCCAAGAAGCAAGGTTGCAATTTCAGGAAAAGTCAGCTTCCTAATAATCCCAAGGGATAGCTTTGGAGTGTAAATTACACCTCATGTCTATTTCAACATGGGGCAAGGGAACTGGACTTTCATAGTCGTATCCATTGGCTGTGGGGATCCCCAGGGAAATATAAATTCCCATGGTCTTTGTATGAAGCAACACCAGTAGCTCAAGGGACAGCCAAAGGCCACAGGTGCCAGTCCTCAGCAGGGACGCACACCGGAACTGGGTGCTGAGCACACAAAACTGCTAAAAGGGATCTGACAGTACCGGAGTACATGTAGAGTATCCACCACCAGCTTCCTTCTCTTGAACTTGTAAGGTACCGGAGGACAGTGGAAATGAGAAACCCCAGTTAGTACATTTTTACCATGAACCCAATGGATAAAGTGAAGACTTCATCATAGGTATAAAACTATATGTATACCTCTTTGCTACTTCCTTTTTACAGGGAATACAGGGGTTTTGGAATCTACATCTGAAATCTCTTCTGGCATTGCTGAAAATCTGTAACTCTCTTCAGGTGTCTCATTTTCACATATTCAAGGCCTAAACAGACCCAAAGCTCCAGCTAAGAAACTATTTGCATCTTTTATCAGGCCCTCTACTGTAATTGACAGCACTCCCTATATTGGAACCACATATTGATTTGTTTAATAGCTGCTCGGAAGTACTTAAAAGTGAAAACATCCCTAACAACCCAGAAACTGACAGGCTGTGAAATGGCTGCTTAAGAACTTGTCATCCAAACTGAACTCACATGAAAACTGATGTTAAAAAACAGCAAAATGGTCTCTGTGTGCTTGTCATTTTTTTAAAAGGAACTGTAAGGGGTACAATTTAGTTCTAAGCTGTTCATCTACTTTAGACAAGGGACAGCTTGACACCAGGCACAGTTATAAAATGAAATTTCTAATTTTTCTCTCCCACAACATACACGTGGGCATACACACAGCCACCTCCTCCTCATTCCACCTGTAACCCCCATTAAACTCTGAAGCGCACTAAGAAGCTTGTCCACAGCCTAGCCCTGAAGTTCTGCCTTGCAAAACCTACCCCTCCTGTGCTTCCTATGGGTACCTCAAACAAGCAGTGGTTCTCAGTTAGGGCTGATTTTGTCCCCCAGAAGACATTTGGCAATGTCTGGAGACATTTTTGCTTGTCATAACTAGGGGGAAGGAACTACTGGCATCTAGTGGGTGCAAGCCTTTGCGATGCTATTAAACCTTCTACAACGCCCCAAACAGTGTACAGCACTCCCCTCAAGAAAGAATTATGCAGCCCAAAATGTCAGTAGCGCCGAAGTTGAGCAACAACATGCTAATGGGTAAACAATGTTGGTGTTTTAGTTTGGGTTCCCCTAAAAGCAGAACCTGAGACAAGGATTTGAGTGCAATGAGTTCTTTTAAGAGGTGATCTCTGAAAACATCAGTAGTCAGGAAGGTAAATGAGACAAGGAAAAGAAGAAAAATAAATAAAGGCTGTGTTAAAGAATAGGTTACTCCTATGGGCAGCTAGGACTCAAACCTACTGGGGAACTCTGGGGGACTATATGAGGCATGCTTTGGGGCTATCCTGAACAAGAACAAGGAAGCTGGAGTATTTATCTTCATATCCTATGTTACTAGCTGAGGACTGAGAATATTAACTTCCTGGTACTTCCAGACTACCCTTTAAGGACCAAGAGAATGCCCTCTTGGGTAGAGAGTTTGTGAGCTTGCGGCAAGAGCCCATGGACACATATGGGAATGGTGAGTGCCGAGTGAATATGGACAGGGCAACAATAATGCATGCTGGAGTTGGTCCTCCAGGAAAACATTCATGGGAATATATCTTCAGTTGCTTTTTCTGAGGATGACTCTTTAGCCAAAAACATAATTCTTATCATAACCACAGTAGGTGTCCCAGATGACAAGTAAGAGTGATATGTTTTAGTTAGAGAGACCTTGTTAGAACATTCAGTTGGAAGGACTCTTAGAAGCCCATGTGTTCCAGCTCTGTGCCAATGC